GCTTTCGTGAGCCACAGCTCACTTAGCTGTGGCTCACGAAAGCTCATGCTCAAATAAATTGGTTAGTCTCTAAGGTGCCACAAGTACTCCTTTTCTTTTTGCGAATACAGACTAACACGGCTGTTCCTCTGAAAAGTGTCTCCTATGTGTTGGAATGAAACTTGTGGAGGTGGGTCCATGTACAGGTGAATGGAAGGGGAGACAGGTTCTTGGAAAGGAAGCATGGTCCAGTGGTTAGAGCACTAGGCTTGGCTGTGGGAGTTGGAGATGGACCTTGGGCAAGTCTCTGAGGATCCATCTACACAGCAATTGGGCGGTGTAATTCCCAGCTTGGGTAGACGGATGTGCGTCTGCTCTGCTGGACCTACCAAGACAGCAGTGTGGCTCGGGCAGCTGCTTGGGCTAGCTGCTGGAATACATCCCCAGGGAGCTGGCCAGGGTTGTACGCGGCCCATGCTGCCGTGGCAACCCTGCTATTTTTAGGCACGTATCCATCTACCTGTGCTGGGAATTATACCTCCCATGCAGGGTCTCTCTGGGGCTTTGTTGCCCGTCTGTACACTGGGGATAACAGCCCTGCCCTGCCTCCCAGCGGGGCTGTGAGGATAAATGCATTATGAGGAGCTCAGCTGGGGCCCAAATAAGTGTCTAAAAAAAGACCAATGGGGCGGGAAGTGGAGTCATGTGACGGCCAGTGGGAGGGAAGTGGGGGTCCTGTGTTGGCCAGTGGGAAGGCTCACCCCATCAGGGTGCCTTCCTGTGACTGATCACAGCAGTCCATTCAAGTTATGCCTCAGTTTCCCCTACATCCCCTCTAGGCCGAGTTGCCCACCTTCTCCACCACGGATCAGACCAACGGTCATCCCCATCCCTGGCCCTCGCAGAGTCTAATTCAAGCCCTTCCAGGCATAATTACTGCCGTTTCGACCTTCAGGAAGCCAATTCTCCAACCCTGCAGAAGTAAGGCAGATTAGGATGGAGCAGTCCTCCAGGGCTCATCTCCAGGCTTCCCGACCCGAGAGTCCATAATCCCTCTTCTCTCACTCCGGTGCCCCAATTCCAAGGTCTCCATGCCTCTGGCAATTCTCCGGGATTCTTGCTGCTCTTCTCCTGCCGTTTGCAAATTAATTCTAATTCAGCAGTCTCTCGTTGGAGTCTGTTTTTGAAGTTTTTTTGTTGAAGAATTGCCACTTTTTGGTCTGTAATCGAGTGACCAGAGAGATTGAAGTGTTCTCCGACTGGTTTTTGAATGTTATAATTCTTGACATCTGATTTGTGTCCATTTATTCTTTTACATAGAGACTGTCCAGTTTGACCAATGTACATGGCAGAGGGGCATTGCTGGCACATGATGGCATGTATCACATTGGTGGATGTGCAGGTGAACGAGCCTCTGGTAGTGTGGCTGATGTGATTAGGCCCTGTGATGGTGTCCCCTGAATAGATATGTGGGCACAGTTGGCAACGGGCTTTGTTGCAAGGATAGGTTCCTGGGTTAGTGGCTCTGTTGTGTGGTGTGTGGTTGCTGGTGAGTATTTGCTTCAGGTTGGGGGGCTGTCTGTAAGCAAGGACTGGCCTGTCTCCCAAGATCTGTGAGAGTGACGGGTCATCCTTCAGGATAGGTTGTAGATCCTTGATGATGCGCTGGAGAGGTTTTAGTTGAGGGCTGAAGGTGACGGCTAGTGGCGTTCTGTTATTTTCTTTGTTGGGCCTGTCCTGTAGTAGGTGACTTCTGGGTACTCTTCTGGCTCTGTCAATCTGTTTCTTCACTTCTGCAGGCGGATATTGTAGTTGTAAGAATGCTTGATAGAGATCTTGTAGGTGTTTGTCTCTGTCTGAGGAGTTGGAGCAAATGCGGTTGTATCGTAGAGCTTGGCTGTAGACAATGGATCGTGTGGTGTGGTCTGGATGAAATATGGTCCATGTTATGGAAAGGTCTGAGAGCCCTACGTCTATTGTATCCACCTGTCCACCCTCCTGAGCACCAGTCACCGCGGCGCTAAGGGGCTGGATTGCTGTGTCCTCACAGTCCTGCGCTAAATCCTCCGGAGGCCTGAATGCACCCAGCCCAGTTTTACCTGGTGAACTCTTTACTGGTCTGCTTAGCAAGGCAGCACTCCCCCTGCTGCCCCGCGAGTGTGGCCCCATGGCTCCACAGGGAGCCGCACAGGACATCTTAAACCAAACTGGCTCCAAGAGCAATGTGCTCCAATGCACCAGCGTTACGCAGGAGCATGACGCCCTCGCTTCTGTCCTCTTGAAACAGCCTGAGAAAATATCAGCTACCCCGCTGATTCTGCAGGCTGGAGTTTCTGTGAGCTGCAGCCATGCCGAGAGCTCAGGAGGAAGGGAACAGGAGCATAAAGCCTGGCAGTAATACTATCACGAGCTGTGTCCTTTGCTTTGAGTCCAGGGACATCATCTTGATTCCCCGGAGCGTGGGTTTTAGTTACTAAAATAGCCTCACCTTATCTGGAAGCTACAGTTACCCCTTGCTGTAATAGCAATTGGCAAAGGGGAATTCACTGAGACTCCCTGCAGTCCTAGTATTGTGAGTGGACCCATTCAGCAGATTAGTCCGCTGAGGCACAGAAAAGTGAAGCTATCATGGGGTTACCCTGGGAAGAGAACCCAGGAGTCCTGGCTCCCAGTTTCCTTCTTTGACCCCTGACAGCAGCTAGTGAGAGGTGGGTCCTGATCCAGCAGGAAACGGGAGTGAGCCCAATAAACCATTGTCGGTGAGCCACGGAACAGACACCAGACAATTTTGACTTTCTGTCACTCACGGGCTGAATTGATTTCAGTGAACAAGCTCCATCTCCCATTCCCAATCCCTCAAGCCAGCCCGCTCCTTCCTTTATCCTGACTTGCAGCGCCCCCTGCTGGTCTGTCTGGGCAGAGGCTGGGGCTAGAACCCACACTTCTGTGTGCGTGCCGTTTATTTTTTTTAGCGTGAATCCACTGGGGGGGGGGGGGGAGGACCAGAGTCAGAAGTGAAAGGCTGGGCCCCTGCCTTGGCCCCCTGACCTACTGCTCAGTAACAGGCCATGTTCCAGGGCATCGGTGGCTGGGCTCCCTTCTGGTTTCCTCTCCTGTCCCCTCTTCCTCACTGCAGAGCTGAGTCTGGAAGGAGAACTCAAAATTCGCTGCCCAAAGGATTAATTAGTGCAGAGTTAAGGCAGCCCCTTGCTGCTCTGTATCCTTCTAGCATGCTGAGTTCACCTATACTCAAACCTCTGAAAACCAAGAAATTCAGAAGTAAGGTTCACCCCACCCCACATCCTTAACTCTGCCCCTCTTTGAGCAATGTCACAATCCACCCTCCCCCACCGCTATCACAGCACCCTACCCTTCCAGATGATATTGAGCCCCACAGGAGTGTGCAGCTTCCCACACAGACACTCCAAACTGCTCAGGCTGAGCACAGCATCTGAAGTGCCTCGATTAAAACAACTAGAATTTTGTCCTAGTCTAACTTTGGTCATTCCACCTGCCCACTTGAAACTCCCCTCAGGCAGCTTCTTATAGATAATCTTTGCCTCCTGAGCTGTTGCATCCTGTTGCTGTGTATAGTTAAACTATAACACTCCACCCCAGAGGAGGCTGCATCTCCATGATGGCTAAACAATCTGTCTGTTTGGTGCTTTATGTGGCCGTGCATTGAGTGGACTCACCGCTGGTGTGCCCTCTTGTGGCTGGGCATCGCATGGCAGGCTCTCCTCACCGAGCACCCCACCACCACCAGCCAGACCAGGCCGGTGGTGTTCTGCCTCTTCTTGTGACTCTGCCCTCCAGCCCGGTCTCTCTAAAGTCTCACCCCTTGCAGGGTACAAACAGTGTCCCACACAACTCCAGTTATCAACCCTGCACCTTCTGCCCCGCCTTGGCTCCTCTGAAGTCCCACCCTTCTCTCAGAGCAGTGGGTTCCCCACGTAAAACGCCAAACAAAACAAACCAACCTCCGTCCATCCAGGCTTAAGCACTGGGTCCTGCTGGGTTCTCCCCAGCTCTCTGCCCCAGTCACAGGATAACAGCTCTGGAGCCTGGGCCCTTTCCCAGGGCCTGTCTTCTCTCATCCAGCTACCCTATTGTCCCTTTCCCAGAGTGAGGGAACCCTAATGCTCCCGGAGTCCTGGCTCCTTCCTCTGTAGCTTTCACTCCCTTCCATCCTGAAGAAGGCCCAGCTGCCTGCGATAACAAATCCAGCCTTACCACACACCCTCCCGGGACAGCCAGGTGGGCTAACTGAGCTTGAAGACTCTTGTTAACCCTTTGTTTACATAGGTGGGGCTTATGCCCCATCACTGTAAGATATGAGCACATCACTGTCTTTATAAAGCCATTAGCCACCTGGGAGGCAGGGCAGGGCTGCTATTCCCATTGCACAGATGGGGAAACTGAGGCACAACACGACTCTGTGACTTGCTCCAGGTCATCCAGGGAGAATGCAGCAGACCAAGGCTTTGGACCTGGGTTTTCCAAGTCCCTAAACTAGCATCCTAATCACTGCCCTAGCTTTACTTTCTAGAGAGGAGCACATTTTTGTCTCTATGTGACCACTGATACTAGTACATTGGGTGCTGTAGAATGGACAACTGGGCCTGTTGGCTGTGTTGGCTGCAGGATGCCCTGTAAAGATCCTTGCTAACTGGGATCTTTTACACGGGAGCCACGTGTATCCCAACCCTGCCTGTGCCCTTCCTGCCTTGATAAATCTGCTGCTGAATTCTTGGGGTGTGTTGTTTTGTTTTGTTTTTAATCCAGCTGAAAGAAAATGAATTTGCAAAGTGATTTGGCTGGCCTGGGCTCTGAGCCTGGCCAGATTCCTCGTGTGAAGTCCCACAACACAAACATTGTTGGGACAAAGTATTTAAGGAGCTAAGAACATCATCCAGGGCTGGACTGGAGCTGCAGCCGGGAGCCACCTTAAAAATTGCTCGCCCCTGTCGCGCTGCCTGAATGGCAATCGTGAGTGGCATGAGGTCTGTGTTCTGAAGTCAAGTGGAAAGTGGAGAATATCCCATTGGTCACCAGACTTCAGAGCTGCCGGGGCAGCAGTCTGTGCCTTTCCCCTCCAGCTGAGGAACAGGAGGGTGGGATCCTCTCTGGGGCATATTTATCCCCCCAAAAATCAACTTTTTTCCTTCCCCGCCAAATCACCTGCCACAACTCTGTGCTTTAGAAGATGCTTCTCACTTTAATCCTCCTGCAGGGTTTTTCCCACACCCTGGCTGCAAATCATGGTAAGTTGCATTGCTTATAAAGACATGGATTTCGGGCTCAACTCAGCCTTCCCACAGTTCTGGGTGCTACTGGCTGGCTCTGGGTGCTACTGCGGACGGTGTGTGTGTCGGGGTGGGGGGGGGAGGGTTGGCTGGATTTTTTTTTTTGGAACCCCCAAAGAATGCAGCACTCTGTTCCTTTCTTGTGTCCACAATGGAGCTACTGTTCCAACTCCCATGGGCCACTCAGCCATTTCTTTTGTCTGCTTTAGAAACCAATTCCCTACACAAATGGCACACCAAATGCTTTGTGATGCTTTCCAGCTGGTCTCAGCCTTGAGCAAACTCCGCTTACGAGTACCCCGCAGAATTTCTGCACAGAGCCTGGATTACTAGTTATTCCCTCCAGGCCTGATCCTGCATCGTCAACATCAGGGGGTGGCAAGATCGAGCCCTCAGGTGCCTGCTCCAAAGACATTACACTGGGATCAGGGGTGCTGGAGCAATTTTTATAGTGGGGGTTCTGAGAGCCATTGAACCCAACTGTAAACTCTGGATATAATGGAAACCCCTGCAAGCCAGGGGGTGCGACAACACCCCTAGTTCCAGCACCTGTGCTGGGATCTGACTGAGTTGTGTGCTAAATTGAAGTGAGTATACTTCAGAGCAGAGGTTAAAGCCTAGAAGGTGTTGAGAGAAAGTGTTCAACAAGCAGGCTAATCGTTGGCATGCCAAAGCTCTCTTTAAAGGCAGAATGTGAGGCCTCCCCCTTAATCCTAATGCATTTCACAGGGGCATTTCTTCCGAGGTTATTTACTGTGGATTTCTTCGCTTACTGTCTACTGCTCTGAATCGCCTTCAATATTTGTGCCTGACTCCCACTGATTTACATCAATCTCCACTGATTGTGCTTTAAAAATATAATCCAGACTCGGTGAGCTGTAAAATGCCACCAAAAATGTAAATATCGGCAACGTGTTTATTTATACACCCCAGGGCCTTTTAGGGAATTGCAGTCCCTTATTCCAGAAGACATAACCCCATCACGATAAGAGCTGAGCATCCTGGACTCAGCACTTTCCAGGATTGGGGCCGGGGGTCGATACCAGGTCCTAAATGTCATGGGGGATGCTGCGTGGGCTTGGGTGACTGAAGTTCTGCATGATCAATAGGATATTCATTGTAATTAATATGCATCCCAGGCTGTGACCCTTTTTGGTATCAGTGAGATTGAGTGTGTACTGTATGTGTAATTCACCTGGATTTATGGGCTTTTGGGGGCTGCTCTTTGACGCTTGAAATGGTGGAGTTGTGTGAATCCAAAATCGCTGTGATATGGTCATTTCCTGGGCTCCGCAATTCACCTTTCAATCTGCAATGTGGATTATTCATTTATTTAGCAAAGCGGGACGTAAAGAACAGTCACATCGGACCCTGTGCAGCTGTCCTGACTCAGGGAAAGCTCAGTGGGCTGCATAAAGATTTTAAGATATTATTTTAAAAAAATAAGGCCGTTGGGGGTATCAATGCTGAAATCTCTTTGTATCTCAATGGATTTGGATCTTGAGGATTTTTTGCTGCTGGGTGGAGCTAACCCTGTGGTTATATCATGGAGAGTAGACGTGATATGTCGGGTAGATGAATTCTATTCTTTGATTAACAGTGATCAGTAGCTAAAACGGTGCCAGGACAGATGCAGCAAGTGGGTAGAATAGTAGACTTTATGAAAACAGGTAATAAGGACAGCTGGACAGAAAAAGTTTGGGATTTTTCCATGGAAAATTTTGACTTCTCGTTGAAAAATTTCACCTGAAAATTGGCCCAAAAGGGGAGGGGGGTGGGGAGAAAAAAAAAACCCAATGGGTTTTGGCCAAATATTTTCAGTTTTACAAAGAAAAATAAAATAATGTCAAGGGCAAGCAGACACAATCTGCAATCATTTTCATTTTCTCAAACTCCAATTTTCAGCCAGACCTTTAAATAAACCTGATTTTAGCATGAAAAGTAACTCGCCAAGTCCCAGAGGACGGGACTGTTCCCAGAGACTGTGTCCTGTGACTCTCTGTTTTTCATTTGCACAGTTCCTACTGGAATCTTTTCATCAAGAGCTTGATCCAAAACTTGTGGCAAGCCAACGGAAAGATTTCCATTGATTTCCATGGGCTTTGGATCAGGCCCCAAATCAGTCTCGTTAGCCCAAGCCTGGGATCAGACTAGGAATCCCTTTCCCTCATGGCCTGACTTTTCAGTCTCAAACAAGTGTTGGGAGCGTTGGGTTTGTGCAATGAAACGCTCCTGAGAGGTCTGTAGCAAAACAGTAATAAGGCAAATAAATGTCACATATCCAGCCACATAGGGCCCGATCCTGCTCTCACTAACATTACAGGCAAAACCCCTAACAGAGCAGAGATGTATCATTTGACTGCTTTAAAACTTAGGCCAGATTCTGCTCTAAATTACCCCCGTTTAAATCTGGAGTTGCTCCACCATCTTCAATAGCATTACTCTGGATTTACACCCATGTAAACAGGAGCAGAATTTAACCCATCATGAACAAAAGGAGACGCAACAAGCAAAAGTAATAGCCTTGCGAAGCATTCCCACCTCTCGTCCCAGAGCCAGGCTCTGCAAACAAGCTGTTCTAATATCTGAGCACTTCTTGAGACACACATGAACGTCAACACTGTACCGTCACGTCTGGACCTGAACGGGCTGCAACACGCTAAGTTCTGCAAACAAATGTCATCTCTTCAGCTCACAAGCTAGTACCAGGCCAGCCGGCAGCCCTCTGATTTGAACCAAATGCTCCCTTACCCCTCAAGCGAGCCCACTGAAATCAGCCAGGCTGCTTGGGGAGTAAGGCAGTAGGCAACATTTGGCAAGGTGGGAGAAGGAGAGGTGATTGTACTGCTTTACGCTGCATTGGTGAGACCGATGCTGGAACGCTACGTCCAGTTCTGGGGTCCGCATTTTAGAAAGGATGTTGAGACACTGGAGCAGGGGCAGAGAAGAGCCAAACAAACAAAAATTCGAGGGCTGGAAAGAAATGGCTGACAGCGAGAGACTTCAGCAGCTCAATCTGTTGAGTGTATCAGAAAGAAAAGCAAGAGGTGACTTGATTATGGTGTATAAGTACTTTCACGGGGAGAAAACCTTAATGTAGCAGAGAAACGCAGCCCAAGAACCTATGGCTGGAAGCTGAAGTCAGACCAATTCAAATTCAAAGCAGGGAAGACTTATTTTTTACCAGAGAGGGGGATTAACCAGTAGGACAAACCGCCTGGGGAAGTGGTGGATTCTCCAGGTCTTGAGGTATTCATAGCACAACTGGGGGCCTCTCTGAAAGACGCTTGAGTCAAACACAAGCTATTGGGCTCAATACAGGGGAACTGGGAGGAGTTCTCGGGCCTGGCTTACACAGGAGGTCAGACCAGGTGATCTAACGTGCCCTTCTGCCTTCACAGTCTCTGACTCTGATCCTTATAAATTACGTGGGTACTGCTGGGTGAGGCCTCTGTCTGGGAGGTGAAGATTCACCCCAATGAGAAGACACGCGTGTGGTTTGACTGGGCGGCAAACTGGCCCAGCCATCCCTAGTTAGCATTAAGAGAGGATTAGGAATAGTATCGGCCCCATAAAGTCCACTCTTCTGTTTCCAACAGCGGCCAGTACAAGCAGCTTCCTGGAAAGGTACAGAGCCCCCAAAGGGGTCAATTACACACTACCAGGCACTGGGGGAAGTTTCTTCCGAGTCCTGGGCAGAGAGCATAGGCTACAGACGCTGAGCCTGGTTCTCCACTGCCCTGCCCCTCGTGCTGGCCTTTGCACCAGTGCAAAGTGCTCCTGAATTAGAATTAGCAGCTGGGTGCTGCTGGCACAGACAGCCCCAAGGTGCAGGGCAGGCAGAGAATGGGTCCCTTTGAATCTTTGGCCCTGGGACGGAAAAGCACAAAGGAGCCCATGCTTCTCTCTGTTCCCAAATGTCTCTTTAAAATGTGTTTGCCAAACTGGGGGGTTAATTTTAGCTCGGGTCAGGGAGGCCTCGGTGGAGCTCAAGTCTCTGCCACGGGGACCAGCTGCCGTTTTAACAGAGAGCCACTAATCTCGCCCAGCCCCTGGCTCAGCCTCGTCTTCAGTTTCTCCTTTTCTGCCCATGTCCTTTTCATTTGGGCGCAAGAGTTTTAGGGGTAGTGGTAGAAAGCAGCTCAGAGACAGGACTGAAGGCAAGTGCAAGCCCCAGGTGAGTGCATCTTACGAGAGTCCGCTCTGTGACCACGCCCCAGAGGACAGGACTCAATTATAGCCCTGGCTAGGAAAGGTTGGGGTTTTTTGCTCATGCTTTTAGCTCCAGAGGTGCCCCGTTCAATCCCCAGCGAGTTGGCCAAAAAGAGCAGCTGTCACAGCAGCAGGGCTGAACATGCTAGCCAGGATTTGACTGTTTGCTCTTCCTGCACCGGGAGCAGGGTGACCTCTTCCCTGCCTGCTGTTAGAGAAGCAGTTAAGCAAGGCTGGGAACTTCAAAGAGAAAAGGAGAACAAAACCTGGGCAACAATAGGGTCTGGTCCATCGCCCCATTGAAAGCCACTCTCTTTTGACTTCAGTGGACGTTGGCGTAACATGTTTGCTCCCAAAGCTCTTTGGGGGAATCATTTCCCCACACGGAAAGACAGCCATTTCTGGGGTGGAACTTGGCAGCTCTTTAACAGCCGCAAGAAATCTCTTTCAGAAGAGGGAGTGAAGGAGGATACCGCCTCTGATTGAGACTGCAAGAGTGGCAGGATGTAAGGGCAAGGGGTTGGATTTGTCCTGGACCCTGGGGGAAATACTCGGAGGTCTTTAAGGCTTACAGGTGGGAGGGGATATTGAGGCAAACTAAGTGTTAGTTATGCTGACTAAGTGCTTTTGTTTGCTTGCTTTGCAGGTTCCCACTGGACATATAAAGGTAAGGCTGGAAGAGGATTTTATTCTGGGCTTTCTCCCATTCAGTTCCTCTTCTCCCAGGTCCCGGTTCCCTTCTGCTAGCTCAGCGGGGCAGGATGCAATGCCTTCCTGCCAACACCGTGCCCACGCTGGCTAGCAGGTGGCAATGGACAGTGATCGAAGTTGCCCCTCCTCCTATTGGGGGTTGAGTGCACTATTTGTGCAGCATCTGGCACAGAGCTGTGGGTCTCCCCACAGACGCTGCCTGCTCGTGAGATGCCCAGACCAAGGAGGCATGGCCATTTAGGGGGCGCTGCAGAGCGGCTCTTGGCCTGTCCCTGGTCCTTTCCAGCCAAGGAGCTTCGAGTGCTTTGCAAAGCCTCAGTGATTAAACCCAGCACCCCATGCAGGGGGGACACATTACTCCCCTTTACACAGGGGGAAAGGGAATGACTTTGTGGTAGATCCAGGAGTAGAACCCAGAGCTCCCTGCTCCCATCCTCCTTCTCTAATCACTATACACCACTCTCTTCCAGAGCTCAGACTAGAACTCAGGAGTCCTGGCTCACTGTCTTGTGCTCTAACCAATAGACCCCACTCCCCTTCCACAGCTGAGAAAAGAACTCAGGAGTCCTGGCTCCTAGACTGTGCTCTAAACAAGAGGCCTCATCATTTCGCAGACCCAGGAACAGAACTCAGCAGACTGATTCCTACTGGCCTCTGTGGGTGTTACTCGTATCCTGCGGAGGGAGAACTGACCTCCTGGGTTCTGTGCCCAGTTCTGAGAGGACAACGTAGTCTAGTGGTTAGAGCAGGTGGCTGGGAGTTAGGATTCCTTGGTTTTCTTCTCACCTATGGGCAGGAGAGGGTTGGGGCAGGGAGGCCTGGGGCTTCAGGACTCCGGGGTTTTGTTCCCAGCTCTGGGAGAACAATGTTGTCTAGTGGTTAGAGACGGTGCACAGTGACTCAGAACTCCTGGGCTCTATCCCAGGCTTTAGAAGGGCGCATGGCCTGGTAGTTACAGCAGGGGAGTGATTCATTTCCTCCACAGCAGAGCAGGTCTCTAGGCGGCCTGACTGCCAGTCCCCTGCTCTAACCACTAGACAACATTGTCCAAACCCCAGTCCTTACCCAGTGCTTTAGCCCTTGCCCCCTGGCTTTGCGGGAGTGTTGGGCCTCCTGGATTCTCCCCCAGCTAGTTCCCATGCTAGAATGGCCCCATTGTGTTTCCGGGACCCTTATGTAACAATGCTAGACCCACCATCCAGATTGCCAGCTAACCGCCTGCAAGCCTAGCAAATCCAATTAGCACAGAGCCAGCACCAACTAAAAGCGCAGCCCAGCGCCAGCCAAGCATGGCTGATCCCATTGCACAGGGTCAGACGTAATCCTCACCTAAGCTCGGCCCCTGAAAGCACAGCATTGTGCCGGGACCTGGAAAGGGGAGCAGCAGGAATTCGTTTGAACCCGCGCTCGGGGGCTTGCCTGTTACCGGGGTGGCGGGTGGGCAGGGAGTGGACTTCGGCTGAGCAGGCAAGCCCATTTGCCCCAGCAGACCCAAGCCACATATGAGACGCCTGTGTGCTTTTTACGTGGCAGGCATGGATGTCGGGCGCCCTAGGCCCAGAGGCTTCTGGGAGCAACTAGCAGCAGCCAGACAGGGCACCAGGAAGGCCTGTATTTTGTGGGTATATCTGATTTGGAGGTTCTTTGTTTTCTGGGTAACTTCAGGTCCAGGGTCAGTGGAAGAACAATTGCGCAGTGGCAGGAAAAGCAAACAGCTTTATCTGTGCTTCCCCGGTTGGAAAATGTTTCCAGCAAACCAATTACCATAGCATAGATTGCATTCAGATGCAAATAACTGCGGGGCTCTGGCCTCCCTTCCCAAGCTGGGTCCCTCATACAAAAGCCTCCTCATTCGGACAGCGCTGGAGAAAACCTGATTTGCCTTGTAGTGGCCTTGGCGAGGCAGAGTCGCCTTTAAAAGCGGCATAATTAGGCTGGTTCCAGTCCTGCCAGATAGGGACACTCACAGGAAAAGTGAAACAGGCAGAGCCTAGAAAGTGACGTGCGTTATTATAACCACCTATTCACAGTTATTTTGATTTTCGGCATTTTCCTGAACAGAAAGAGAACCTCTAACCAGGGCTCTCGCGTCCAGCTCCTCAAAGGTCTTTAGGCACCTAATTCCCCTTGTAGATAGCTGAGTCCAGGTGACTTTGCCACACAGACCAGAATCTGTAAGTGCTCAGCATCCGTAAGGAGCCCAGATTTTCCTAAGCCACCAGGGTGCTTATCAGCTGTTGAGGTCTTTGAAAACCCAGCTGTGCATGTCACGGGGGAAGCTGAAAGCTCCTGGAGATCCGTCTCCAATGGAGGGTGCTGAGCGGTTCTGAAATTCTGATCCTGAGCTCCTAGGAAAATCTGGCCCATCCGGAAAAATGCAGCCATACACAGCAGATTATTGTGACTGATGCAGCCACTAGAAATGGTCTTGGTGCCAAAGCAAAGAGCTTCACGTCTAAATCCAAACTGCCTATAGAAACCCTGGCTAGAGCTTTTCTCCACTGCGGGTTTTATCTGTTTCCTGTCTGAGTGCCTGCCAAGCATTTATAGATTGATCCTCATTGCCACCCCCCTTCGGAAAGCATCATTCTCCCCAGTTTATGCTCTGTAGCAGCCAGGACTGAATCCACGTTGCCTGCGTCCCAGCGTCTAGCCACAAGGCCAGCCTCTCTCTTGACTTAGGAATGGTCCTTGCACGAGCGAAGTGAGGCATCGCTGTAAAAAGCTTGGGAGACTGCGCGATCCAGTGGTTACGGCAGGAAAATGGGAGCCAGGACTCCTGGCTTCAATTCCCAGCTTGGGGGTGGGGGCGGAGGGATCTGGTGATTAGTAGGGGACTGGGAGTCAGGACTGCTGGGGTGTACAACTTACTGCTGCTGCGTGACCCAAGGGGCAAGTCACGTCCCCTCGTTCTTCCCCCAGGGAACAGGGATTGTCCCTTCCAGCTGCAGCTCCTGGAGGGCTTTGAGATCCCCAGCAGGGAAGTGCTGCTGAAACACTGAGTGTTGTCACGGCCACAGCTGTGTATGGCACGTCGTACCGAGGGTGGGGGGCGTAAAATTGCTCTGCTGGGGCCAGAACTGGCCCACGAACAAATCCAGCTGGTAGAGACACCTGCCCGCCCCCTCCCCAAGGGGCTTGACCCCCCTGCACTCTCTGTTTTCAGGCCCCCACGGCCAGGTGCACTGGTCAGATGACCACCTGGACTGCGGGGGGCAGGCGCAGTCCCCCATTGATATCCAGACCAAGTCCGTGAGGCACAACCCAGCCCTGCCACCTATTGAGCCCCAGGGATACCGGAGCCCTGGGGACGGGGCCTTCACCCTCCTCAACAATGGGCACACAGGTGAGGCTGCAGTCGGGGTGGGGCGGGCGTTACCCCAGGAACGGAGGGGCATCCCTAGGTGGGCTGGGACCCTCCTATTTCTCCCTAGGAGCCTCGAGAGCACTGTCCGTGCCTTCTCTGTGCCCTTCCGCACAATCTCACCCCTCAGAGCAACAGTCTCCTCCCCTGTACCCCCGGGCCTGCCCCGCACCCTCCCCTCGCTGGCCTTTTCCACCCCTCTCCCACTGCTGGCACGAGAGCCCCCTCCTCTGCCGCTCCCCTGCTGCAGGAGCCTCTCCGTATCCCCCTCTCGGCAGCTACTCATCCAGTTAAACCTCACTAGGAAATGCAGGCAACACCTGGTTCTGGAGAACAGCTTGAAAACCTGACCCGAGTGCTCCCAGGGACCAGAAGGCAGGAAAAGACCCTGCCCCTGATTCTTCGGGTCACATCCCCTGCTGTTGTGGGGCCGGCTTCGGGATTCTGAGGCAAGGACTTGCCCTGTTTGAACGCTGGGGGTTGGTGATGCGGGATGCCAGGGGGGCTTCTCCTTACCAAGGATATCATAGAATATCAGGGTTGGAAGGGACCTCAGGAGGTCATCTAGTCCAACCCCCTGCTCAAAGCAGGACCAATCCCCAATTTTTGGCCCAGATCCCTAAATGGCCCCCTTGAGGATTGAACTCACAGCCCTGGGTTTAGCAGGCCAATGCTCAAACCACTGAGCTATCCCTCCCCCCCTCCTGCACCTTCTGGCTCCTTGCCCAGATCCCAAAGGTCTGCACGGGTGATAGGGACGCCTTTCCCTGCACCACACCCTCTAGCGTTCCCAGTGGGAGGGAGACGGCCCAACACGGCCTCCTCTCTGCTCCCCACCCGGCTGGAGCCTCCCAGTGGGCATAGGCAGCAAGGCCCCTGGGATGCACGGGGGTTGGGAGACTCCGTGCCGTGCACTAACACCCCCTCGGCGCCTGTCCCCGCAGTGGAGGTGTCCCTGCCCCCGTCCATGTTCCTCCGGGGGCTTCCGCAGACCTATGTGGCCGTCCAGCTGCACTTCCACTGGGGCAGCCGGGGGCAGGCCGGCGGGTCGGAGCATCAGGTGAATGGGGAGACTTTCCCTGCCGAGGTGAGTGTGCTCCTGCCCCAGGGTTGGGGGGCAGAGGGCAGTTATCTCACTGCCCTGGGAACCGCCAGCACCTTATCCTCTCCCGTCTTAGGCAGACCAGCCGGGCAATTGGGGCCAAAGCTACCCTGGGTGCAGCTCCACTGAAATCTATGGAGTTTCCAGGGTGCATCCTCCCCCCTCTCCCCAGGCCACGAGACCTCCCCTAAAGCCAAAGGGTTTTAATTGGGGAGGGAGGAGGAACCAGTTACTCCCCCCATGCTGGCACCATCTGGTGGATAATCCCCGCCCCACCGGGCCTCCAGCTGGAGCTGCAGCATGTGAGACCGTACTTGGAAATGCCGCACTGGGGCTGGGGGATTAGAGGGGCCGGTAGGGGTGGGGGGATTAGGAGGAGAAGAAAGGTCCTGTTCTGCCCCCTGGGAGCCACCAGCGCTCAGCACTAAACTGCGTAACGCTTGTGGGAGAGAGTCTGACGCAACATGAGTCTGAACCCAGCCTCCAGCCTCCGATACGATTAGCCCTGGTGGGGCTGGTACAGTGCATTTGCCCCCTTTCCCCCTACGCTCCTCTCCCTGGGAGGGTTTGCATCTCAGGTGCAGTCCATGCTTGTGTGGGGACCAGGCCAGCAGGAGTCTCAGCAGTCAATGCAGCCGCCCGGGCGGGGGGCGGGGTCAGTCCTGGGCTGGGGCCCCAAGGTCACCGATTCAGATCCAGCCCCATCACCGAGAACAGTGCTGCTAGGGCCCCAATCCTGCAGCTGATCCTCACCCAAATGGGTTCTGAGTCCCAGGAAGAGAAAGGGTGAGCAATGCCTTTCGGGCTCAGGGGCTGGTTGATCGATGATGGATCCTGCTGCGGAAGGTGTGGATGCTTGGCCCCTCTCGGGATCAGGCCCGTTGGGGCTGGCAGGTTTGCAGAGAGCTGTGTGGGCCGGAGAGAAGTGGGATTGGGAGTGAAAGGGCGGCTGTGGGAAAAGGGAAGGGGGAGGCTGCCCAGCAGGCTAGGCCTGAAAAGGTGGGTTGTGAAACCAAGTAGCTATTCCCTGCTGGCCCTGACTTGCCAAAGGGCAGCCTTCCCGTGGGCAGAACATTGAGGAGCCCTGGTTGTATTCCCAGATCTGCCACTGATACCCCCCCCGCCCCGTCCCCCAGCACGACCTTAGGCAAGTCACTTCCCTTCCCTGCGCCTCTGTCCCCCGCCCTCCCCACATGAGCGGATGGTGTGTGGGTACATTCACTAATGGCTGCGAGAGGGAAGGGGGGTCCAGAGAGACTGCGCCTTTAAGAGATTGCCCGCGCTCTCCCCGCAGCTACACATTGTGCATTACAACTCGGAGAGCTACGCCAACGTCAGCGAGGCCAAGCAGCGGGTGGATGGCCTGGCCGTGCTGGGCATCCTCATCGAGGTGAGCTCCTTGCCGCTGGGGTTAACCCAGGCTCCCTGCCCTTGACCCGCCGAGGCGGGGCAGCCCTGATGAATCCTACAATGCAGCCAGCCTCGGGGGCAGGGGAGCCTCTGAGCAGACCCCTCTGCTTGCCAGGGATTGCAGTTCCCTCCTGGGTCAAGAGAAAGTGCTAAGTGGAACAAAGGAATCACCAGGCTGATTCAGACCCAAGGTCCAGCTAGCCCAGTATCCTGGCTCCCACGGCGGCCAGCACCTGCTGCTTCAGAGGAAGGTGCAAGAAATCCCCTAGTGGCCACTTATGGGATAACCCACCCCCATAAAGATCTCATCCTCTCTCTAATCGTTAGCCACTGGCTCAAGCCCTGAAGCCTGAGGTTCTCTCTCCCTTCTGAACTTGCATTAGCTATTCTAACTCTGGGTATTCTTGTTCTCCAGATAAACGTCCAATTCCTTTCTGAATCCTGCCCTCAATGCCTTCATGTGGCAATGAGTTCCACAGGCTAATCGCCTGTTGTGTGAGAGTATTTCATTGGCTCAGTTTTGGGACTGATGGTGATACCTGACGAAGGTTCAGCCTCGGCCTCATGCTGGCTCTCTGCATGCGGGTGAATTTCACCCCAGGAGAAAGCCCAGCTACCCACTTCCCAGCACGCCCCAAGGAAGCGCAGGGACTGGGAGCTCAGATATCATCAAGAGGGCCGTACAACTACCTGGATAGATGGCCAGACAGCTAGGAGATGCGCTGATCCCCTCTATGGCATCCATAAGTCTATTGGAACCCCAGGATTTCCAAGGCCAAAGCCCCCTGATTCAGGGGGAAAGACCTTACCTTGAGAACTGCCAGCCCATCCCTAGCATATCCTTGGTCCATGTCTTCTCATAGACTCATAGACTTTAAGGTCAGAAGGGACCACTATGATCTTCTAGTCTGACCTCCTGCACAACACAGGCCACAGAATCTCACCCACCCATTCCTGTAACAAACCCCTGACCTATGTCTGAGCTACTGAGTCCTCAACTCATGGTTTAAAGACTTCAAGGTGCAGAGAATCCTCCAGCAAGTGACCCCTGCCCCACGCTGCAGAGGAAGGCGAAAAAACCCCCAGGGCCTCTGCCAATCTGCCCTGGAGGAAAATTCCTTCCCGACCCCAAATATGGTGATCAGCTAAACCCTGTGCATGTAGGCAAGACTCAGCAGCCAGACACCCAGGAAAGAATTCTCTGTAGTAACTCAGATCCCACCCTATCTAGTGTCCCATCACAGGCCATTGGGCATATTTACCGCTAATAGTCAAAGATCAATTAATTGCCAAAATTAGGCTATCCCATCATACCATCTCCTCCATAAACTTATCAAGCTTAGTCTTGAAGCCAGATATGTCTTTTGCCTCCACTGCTCCCCTTGGGATGCTGTTCCAGAACTTCACTTCTCTTTATGGTTAGAAACCTTCATCTAATTTCAAGTCTAAACTTCCTGATGGTCAGTTTATCTCCGTTTGTTCTTGTGTCCACATTGGTACTGAGCTTAAATAATTCCTCTCCCTCTCTGGTATTTATCCCTCTGATATATTTATAGAGAGCAATCACATCTCCCCTCAACCTTCTTTTGGTTAGGCTAAAAAAGCGAAACTCCTTGAGTCTCCTTTCATAAGACAGGTTTTCCATTCCCTGGGTCATCCTAGTAGCCCTTCTCTGTACCTGTTCCAATTTGAATTCATCCTTCTTAAACATGGGAGACCAGAACTGCACACAATATTCCAGATGAGGTCTCACCTGTGACTTGTATAATGGTACTAACACCTCCTTATCTCTACTGGAAATACCTCGCCTGATGCATCCCAAGACCACATGAGCTTTTTTCACAGCCTGCTGCTTCCTTTCTCACTTTATCCCTACATGTTCTGACCTCAATAAGGTAGCTTTCCTTGCTGATCCCTCTCATCTTTCACTCCTTGTAGGCTTTCTGCTTTTTCTTAATCACCTCTCTGAGATGCTTGCTCATCCAGCTTGGTCTACGACTCCTGCCTATGAGTCTTCCCCCCTTTCTTGGGATGCAGGCTTCTGATAGTTTCTGCAACCTTGACTTGAAGTAATTCCAGGCCTCCTCTGCCTTTAGATCCACAAGTTCTTCAGTCCAATCCACTTCCCTAACTAATTTCCTTAATTTTTTAAAGTTAGCCCTTTTGAAATCAAAAACCCTAGTCACAGATCTATTTTTGTTTATCCTTCCATTTAGTTTGAACTGAATTAGCTCATGATTGCTCGAACCAAGGTTGTCCCCTTCAACCATTTCTTCTATGAGGTCCTCACTACTCACCAAAACCAAATCTAAAATGTCATCCCCTCTTGTCGGTTCAGCAACTCCTTGGTGAAGGAATCCATCAGCTATCACATCCAGGAAAATCTGAGCCCTATTATTATTACTAGCACATGTCCTCCAGTCTGTATCTCGGAAGTTAAAGTCGCCGATGATCACACAGTTCCCATTAGTATTTACTTCATTAAAAACATTAAAGAGGGCTCTGTCCATATCCACATCGGATCCCAGCGGCCTATAGCTCACCCCAAGCACTATCCCAGGGGAAGCTCTAGTAGCTTTCTTCCCCAATATGATTTTTGCCCAAACAGACTCTGTCTTATCCATTCCATCACTTCTTCTTTCTTTACTGTCTACCTGATCATTGATATACAGTGCTAGTCCACCACCTTCGCCTTTATTTCTGTCTTTCCAAAACAGCACATACCCTTCAATACCCATACTCCAGTCACGACTACTATTCCACCATGTTTCTGTTATCCCAGCCAGGGTCCCTTCCAGCTCCATCTCTGACGGGCCAGTTGTTGCCTGAATGAGGGTAAAGCTTGGGCAGGGGACAGCTGAGCTTTCTCAGGGGCCGGTCCCCTGGAGACTATGGACCATCACCAACTTCCCCAGCCCCTGCTCCAAGTGCAAGGTGCGCTCCTCCAACTTGACGTAATGTAGGCACCCAGCAGCCAGCGCTGGTCATTTTAAAAAGCAGCCTTACCAAAACAAACCATTCCACCGCACATACACTTCTTCCCCTGGACCGAGCGTGCGAGAGAAAGAACCCCATGGGACAGATGTGAGTCTTGCAGCTCAGTGCAGGACTGGAAGGTGCTCGGTGACTGCCGTGACGAGGGGGTTCTAAGACCCCAAATAGAACAGAACGGGGCAGGCCCTCACTCAACCAGCCATATAACTGGGCCATCCAGCCTTGGTGTCTAGTGTGAGCTTCCCTCCAAGGGCTCAGCATTAACCTGAAGCCTCTTGTTCTCCATATTCTCCTTTAGGTCGGCAACGTGGCCAACCCTGCCTATGACAACATCCTCGATCGGCTGAAGAACATCCAGCATGCAGGTGAGGCCATCTGTTCCCACGCGGGGTGTGGGGCCTGACTGTGGTAAGTGGAGAGGAATTGTTTGGAGCAGGGGGTGATGTCAGGGTAGATGTCAGGACACATTTCCTAGCAGTGAGTCTCATTAGATCCTGGCACAGACTCCTAGATTTTATGACCAGAAGAGCCCATTAGGCAATCCAGGCTGATTTCCTGTATCACACAGGCCAGAGAATCTCCCGTTATCCCGGATATTGGGCTAAACACACTTCTGGTCTGCTCCAAAGGGGCATTTAGGCTTGAGCTGCAGACATCAAGAGATGGAGAATTCCCGCTTCCCTGGGCAATTTGTTCCAACGGTTAACCACCTGCACTAATAAAGACTTGTGCCTTATTTCGGCTTTGAATTTGTCCGGTGTCAGTTTCCAGCCAAGGAAGCCTTTTTCTGCTAGATTAAAGAGACCTCTGGTGCCCGGTATTTTCTCCCCATGAAGATACCTGTAAGTCATAATAATTCACCTCTCCAGCTTGTTTTTGACAAGTGGATAGCCTCCCCTGGGACAGGGCATGAGATCCGTGGCTAGGTTCAGATGAGAGCTGGGTGCCCAACTCCTCTAGGTACCTTTGATAACGCCAGCCCAAGTCTTTCGGCTAGACCGGACAGAGCCACAGAGCCTAGACTGTGTCGAAGGGTAACTAACTTCCAGCATGCCCCCTCGCAGGTGGGAAGGGCATAGCAGTCGTTTCCTCTGGTGTCCCCGGCTGACAGCACCCCAGCCCTGCAGTGGCCACCATCTCCTGACTCGGCCCTCTGGCCAGGTCATACATGGTCCCAGCCTTTCCAGGGTGAACTGAGTCCCATTCAGATAGTCCAGCTGCTGTGTGTTGGGTCTTCAGACTTAACAGTCCTTTGCCTACACAGTCCTTTGCACCCCTTCCTGCCAGGGCCTCCATGCCTCCTCCCTTGGAAACCCACGCCCTCCCTCTCCACCCGGTTCCAGCCCAGGGACCCTGTAATAAACAGCTATGGTGCGCCTGCTCAGACTCTTGGCTTCTTCCCTGGCCTACATCCTAGCCCAGCCTGCCTCTTGGCCTTTCCGCCAGCCCCTCTCTGGGCACGCCCCTCCGCAGACCCCAAAAGGAAAATGCAGCAGTCACGGGAAACAAAGCGCACTGGCAGTCCCATGCCAGGCCTACCTGCCCATGGTGCAAGTAGCTCCAGGTCTTCTTTCAAAGGGCTAAAGCAAGAGGCGCTGCTCCAGTCCGCCATTCCTGGGCTGGGCTTTTCCTCTTCCACCCCCCTCCCTCCAGGCTTGACACCTCGCCCAGGTGTAACAGGTGAGGCTGACTGAGCTCACAGCCACTCATTAACCCTTTCCCAGCCAGCATGGAGGTCTGTATATCCCCGCCGCCATCGGGAACAATCCAGCAAGCCTACGCAGAATGTTCTCCGCACTGAAACGTGGCTGCTGCTTTAACCAGCCGCCCGGCTCTAAGGGTAATACCCTGAGCCTAGGAGTGGGTCTAGACCCAGCGCTGGGCTACTGCTGCCGAGAAGGAGCTGCGGCTGAAAGCAGCACCTGCAATTGGGTGGGATTTAACGCCCTTCCTTATTTGCTCTTCACACTGGGTGGGCTTCTGATCACGGGAGGCAGGGTGAGCAGCGGGATCAGCATCAAAAACCACACGATGTTCTAGGCACCCACTCAGGCAGCAGACCTAACCCTTTGGGACGTCGGTGTCCAGGAGAAGAGACCCCACCCTCCCTGTGCCTCGTGTGGCCATTGGCACCTGTGCCAAGTGCAGGCAGGGGGTGGGAAGGGCAGAGAATGAAACTTCAAATTTTGGCCTCCCCCAACCGGCTGAAACGTGCGTGAGAGCAACTGGAAACAGGTGCCAATCACCCAGGGCCCATTTGTGTCCAGACCCAAGGGGCTCCCTGCCTCACCTCGGCTCCTCTGCAAAAGGTCGGACTGGCTTGGCAGAAGCAAATTTGTGTCCCTAACACTGTCCCCTTCGGCCCCCCTGCAGGGCAGAAAATCTCCATCCCGCCCTTCGACATTCATGAGCTGCTTCCCGGGCAGCTGGGCCACTATTTCCGCTATAACGGCTCCTTGACCACGCCGCCCTGTTCCCAGAATGTGCTCTGGACCGTCTTCCGCCAGCGGGCGCGGATTTCTGCCTCCCAGGTACTCGCTGTTGTTTGGGCAGGATGCCCAGGAGGCTAAGCATTCAGATTGCCCCAGTGCCATGAGTCACATACAACTGGGGGGGGGGCGGCAGGGGGCAGGAGGGACACTCCAGGGTCTAGGGCTAAAGGGGTTGGGATTTTCTCTTCATTGAGCTGTGGAGAGTGTGAAAGGTGGTCCCAGGGCTCTTCATCTCCTCACCATGCTGTGTATAAGGGGCAATCCAGGACTTGGGGGGACATCTCACCATGCTATGTGGGGGAATACCCCAGGCCTTGGGGTCATCTCCTTCCCATGCGTGTGGGGAGCCAACCCAGGACTTGGGGGTCTCTTCCTCATGCTGTGTTTGTGTGGGGGCAGGCATCTCCTCACCGCTCCATTCTCTTCCAGCTGGAGAGGCTGCAGGGGGGGCTATACTCCACCGAAGTTGCAAACTCTTTGCCTGTGCCTCTGGTGGACAATTACCGAGCCCCTCAGCTGCTGAACCAGAGGGTGGTGTTCTCCTCCTTCCCCGTGGGTGAGTGCATCGGGCCCCGACTGCACGGGTGGGGTGGCTGCAGGGCCTGGTGAGGGGAGAACGAGGCCCCCCTTAGATTCCAGCTGGTCTGGGGGATCTGACTCCTGTTTCTCTCCACAGGATGTCACCCTCTCATTAACACTTCGGCTGCCACCCACCCCCACAGACCCCAGCCCAATTGCAGCAATCAGTTTATGGAGCGATGCCCCAAGCTATATCCAGGTAGAATCCAGCCCCAAACACCCGGGGCTCTAACCCCACAACCCAATAGCTGGTGGTAGCATCAGGGCTTCTATCTTCCTGGCTGGAGTCGTTCAACTAGACTATGCCACACTGGAGAACACGCTAATGAACTGGCCGTGTGGCACTGCTGCCCTCTGCTGGAGGGAATTAGAACTGCTCACCTGTGTGTCATGAGCCCTGTACTGCTCACAGTGAATGGGGACTCTCCCATATAGTGGGGCTAGGCTTTTGGATCATGAGGGTCTGAGTTCTAGCCCCATTGTCACCATGCTCCGGCAGCAAAACAACAACTGGAAGGTGCCAGGAGGCCACCTGTTTGGCACAATCTATCACAGGGCCTGAGCCTGGCCTGGGCCCACATGGGGCGTTAGAGATCATCAACATTTACCTGTCTCTTCTCTTGCAGGTCCCTCAGCCTACTCTGCAGGTATGGCCCTCTCTGTTATGCCTAGTGTGGCTGGGAGGGGCCCATGGGGTCATGTTCATGGCAGACGCACAGAGACTTTGAATAACATGCAAGAACCCCAAAACAGGGAGAGAGAAAACAGGCTGCTCCTTAGGCACGATGCCCCCCCTCGCCCCGCCCCACCCACACTTTAAGCTGGCTCTGTCCAGACTGACTCTGATTGCTACTGCCAGCAGGAGCAGGAATGCCCCCCTCCCCATACACACCCCCAAACTCCTCTTTCTTAAAGGGATAGCATGCAATTCCAACACAGTCCTCAGCAGAGCACATCTGGCACTCATCTGCAACGGGGAACAGTGACTCTCAGGTTGGCAAAAGCCTGGGGACCTAGGAAAGAGCAGCGAGGAGCCACTGGAGTATGCTGTCACCAGGAATGACTGGGCCCACCCTCCCGGGTCACCCCATCCCACAATCGCACTCTCACCTTAGAGCTCCCCCTCCTTGAGCTCAGCCCTTACCCTCCATTTTCCTTCCTTGGGCAGGTGAAATCGTTGCCATCGTCTTTGGGACCCTCTTCGGCTGCCTCAGCATCTTTCTCACCATCCACTTTGTGGTGAAGAGAATACGGTGAGTGGAGGGGGGGTGGACGCCAGGGGCCTGAGCCCAGTTATAGCCCTGTACCTGACTGTGCTGTCTCAGCCCCCCTGCCCCACATGGTGGGGTGGGGGTCAGGCTGTGGGGAGAGGAGGGGGCTGGAGCTGCCAAAGGGCAGAGACCCTTAAAACACCTGTAGCTTCCAGATCCCAGCCAGGCTCCAGCAGCCTCTGTCAGCAGAGCAGGGCAGTGCCGGGCAAAGACCCCAGACCAGAGCCCCAGCTGGTGTAAATGGGTGTCACTCCATCGAAGCCAACAGGGACAGGTCCCCAGCTGGTGCAAATCAGCTGTAGCTCCCCTGGAGCCAATGAAATGATGCTGATTTACACCAGTGGGATGTATGGCACCCCATGTTCCCAGGCTGTGCAGACACCCCACAACTCAGATCCCCTGAATTGGGGTCGTTCCCCCGGCCCAGCGCCCCAGTTGTTAACCAGAGCTGATCGCAGCGAGGGCGCGGCCTAGGTGACCAGCTGCAAGAACAGGGTAGCTGCGGGAGGAGCAGGCAAACAGTCCCCGGGAAATTGGGGGCACTATGGGGGGAGTAGGTGCACAGCCCCTGTAAGATTTGGGGTTGCTGTAGGGGTGGAACGGGCACACAGCCCCTGTAGGATTTGGGGGTTACCTTACCATTTCTGCTGGTGTCTCCATCCTGAGCCAGAATGAAGAGGATCCGGGAGCAAAAGGACGTCGTGTTCAAATCCTCTTCCAGACGTGCAGTGTCAGGCAACAGCCACCGCCCCTGAATCCCGTGCCTTGCCCCTACTCCCCTGCCTCAGCCCCCGTGGGGCAGTGACTCGGACACCTCAGGGGCCGGCGAGCCTGGAGACGTGCCAGGCAGTCTAGCTGTAGGAGTAACGCCCATGCAGCCCCAGTAGGTTCCCCTTAGGGGGTTACCTCCCCCTAGCCTGGGGAGGGCACACGGAGCCACCTCCCCCCAGGCCCTGGGGCCAATCCCGCCTGAGGCTGGGAGTGACTCTCAGCTGTTCCCATCGGCTAGCTGCTGGGTGGCATCTGTGAGACAAGTCAGTGGGTCTCAGCCCAGTCCCCAGTCAAACACATGCCCCTGTCACAGAAACCCACCAGCAGGGCCGGTACTAACCGGACCCCTTGCCAGTAGCCCAGGGGTCTTGCATACTAACCCTCCCCTTAGTGTACCTCTGCGTCAAGGCCAAGGCCCATGAGCAGGGCAGTGGGGGCCAGGGGAGGGGAAGTTTGCTGTGCTGCTTGCCTGGGCTGTTCCTGCTCTGAGGTTAAACTGGGTGTCAACTGTACACCTCTTGCCTGCAGTGAAACCCCCAGCGTAGTTTGGCAAATCAGCAGAAGAGTGTGAGGACATGGTGCATGACACACTGCCACTCTCCCTGAGGCTGCCGTGTTGCCATGCAGAGCGGGTGTGGTGCATGGCACAAGGACACTGTCTTCCCTGACACTGCAGCTCACGGATCTAAGCTCCCCAGGCCGAGGGGACCCTCCCCTCTGGTCGCTGTCTTCCACGAAGGCCTGGTTGCCTTTCCGCAGTGTTGAGGCAAGCTAGACAGCTCCACGCTGCAAGAGCGAATCCAGCAGCCCTGGCCCTGAGCCACTCCCATCCACGTCCCTGCCTTCGGGCTGTCAATGCACAGGGGAGAGGTAGCATCTCTGGGGCTTTGCAGGCTGCTAGGGAACGCAGCAGTTCGGGGAAGGCAGGGTTGTTCTCCAGATGCTGGTCTGGACACAATGGTTCTAACTGGAAATAAAATGCCTTCTCAGGCCTACCACTGAAGAGCCCCAATTCGCTTTGCTCTGCTGGGATTCAGAGCCAGCTCTTCAGTGAGACGAGCATAGCTCCGCTGCGCCCAGTTCTCCACCGCTGCACACCGCAGTGTGAACTCAGGCCCCGATCCTCAAATTGAGGGTCCTAAATTCTACTGAGTTCAAAGGCCGTTAGGAGCCTAACTCCCTTTAAGGACCTCGGCCAGGAAAACAAGGTCACACAGGGCCAGTGGGAGAACCAGGAATTAAACCCAGGTCTCCTAGGCTATCTCCCTAACCACTGGACCATCCTTCCTGGAGGCAGCTGTCCCTAAACAGCCATTTGGAAGGTGCCCGCATTCCTAGGAGTTGGATGCAAGCATCTCTGAGCATCAGGGCTTGTCTACCCATGAAAGTTAATCTGGAACGAGGGTGGGTGTGAATTGAAAGCAGATTAACTATTCCCGGTTAACTCCGTGTGGGGATGCCTTTAAACCAGAATAAGAGTGCCTTATTCTGAATTGGCTTAATCCAAAATGGATTCTGTTCTGGAATTACTCCCCCCATAGACAAGCCCTGGCAGAGACCTGAACTGGAATATTTTGCCAGATTTTATTTTATCTTTTTACAAAGAAATTTGGCAGCAATGTTTGCAGCCCCTGTTGTTCTTCATGCAGGCCCAGAATTAACCTGTTTCCCCTCCGGCAGGGAAGAGATTCATCAAAGGCAAATGGATCCTGAACAAAATGCTCCGGTATGAAAACGCTTGTTAAAAAATAAAAGCAAGTGACCGTGTTCCTTGAAATTCCAGCACCATCTTCTCCGAGAAAAGGATCTGGAACAGTGTGCGCAGTTCTGGTCTCCCACGTTTAAGAAAGATGAATTCAAACTGGAATGGGTGGTGAGAAGGGCGAATAGGATGATCCGAGGAATGGAAAACTTACCTTAGGAGAGGAGTAGCTGCAGCTGGTTAGAACAGAATTCAGGGAAATAGAGCCAGGACTCCTGGGTTCTAGCTATCAGATTGCTGGTTAGACGAGAGTGTCAGGACTCCTGGGTTCTATTCATGGCTCCTCCATGGTCTTGCTTTGTGAACCTAGCCAAGTCGCTCCAGCTGTTGCTATCAGAGCTTCCCCCTCTCTAAGAAAAGGGTTAAAACTAACCCACATCCCAGTTTTCATCCTTTAAAGCTGCAAGGTGCTTAGAGATCCTCGGGGAGGGAGGAGGAATTACTCCCTTTTCAGCATACGGAGAAGTCTCTCCTCTCCCTGCCCCGGCCTCCCAGCCGCTCCACAGCCAGGCCTGCCTATTTACCTATTGTCCCTGCCTATTTACCCAGGGCCTTTGGCCAGGGGGTCCCTGCAGCCCCCCCTCCCCACTCCCCAGCCCCCTCTGAGCCATTCTTTGCTGTGCAGCTGGGATTAGCATCCAGAGCCGGGTTGGGGCGGTTGGAGCCTCAAGCCAGCCTGAACCAGGGGCTGATCTAATCCCCTGAAGAGAAAAGCTCCCGGGGAACCAGGATTTGGTATCCAAACATGAGGCTGAGGGGAGGGGGTGGAGGGATAAAGCAGTGAACCCTGCACGAGCCCCTCTGGCAGCTCCAGAAACAACCCCCCCCATCCCAGGGTGGGCACCACAGAACTCCTGGGCTGCTTCATAACCAAGGCCCCCAGCCCCTGGCCTCTCCAAAGTGCTGTGCCAACCGTAGCCTGGGGTACCAGCTGCTAGCACCGGGGCTGGTACCAAGCGCACGTGGGGCAGAGCAAACAGGGTCCCTGGGAGAAACTTACCAGCCCGTGCTAGGCAGGGGGGCGGCCTAGAGGATCTAACGGCCCCTTAAGCTGTAAGGCACGTGATGCCAAATAGGAAAGGGATGATTCCCTCTCGGGGTACAGCCAGGCTGCTCCAGCTGCATGGGGGCTCCTGCTGGCCCCACTCTTCCCTTTGGCAATCAAGAGAGGATTTTTTTAGCTGCCCCAACAGGTCAAGACGCTCACACAGAGGAGACTTGGGGGACCTAGTCACAGCACCGCCTACCCCATCAGCTTCTGGCTAGCTGCTGCCTCAGTTTCCCTCCCCACCCAGGAGCTTTCATGAATTGAGGAACAGCTCTTAGGGCCTGGGGTCATTAACGAGCACACTCCCCTCAAGCCTTCTTAGCTGGCCCAAACCTAGGGCTCTGTCCTGCCTCCTGCTGCTCTCCACACTCCAGCCTTCCCAGCTGTCTTCCACCCCACCTTGCCTGGGAGCTAGGGAGAGGTGTTCTGTGTCCAGCAGCTCACGTGCTTTTCCACCTGCTCTCGAGCAATTCCCAGGGCTTCCTACCTGCAATTTCCCTTCTTTCCCCCTTGACGCCTCCCCATGGCCTGAGCTAACCCCATGACCCACCTGGCAGGGTGCTCATTTTGTGCACATAGGGAGAAGGGGGGCTGCAGGAGGGTGGATCCCTTAAAGGGCCAGTCCCCCAGTGGCAGAACCCCCTCCCCCCCATCCCACACACGCGTCCTGGGGAACATCGCTCAGCAGCCTTTCGTCCCAGCCTGGCATCACTAGATCAAACTGCAACAGCTTGGCGCCTGCCACTGACCAGAGCGACAGAGCGGGGCTTGCTTGGCCCAGCGGGGGCAGAGGGGGAGTTGGAAGATTGTTGCGTGGTCGCACAGCCTACACGGGAATTACAAAAAAAAAGGCACGTTGCAATCAACAAAGCAACGGAAACACCAGCCAGGTGGCAACCCTAGGTGATGGGCTCTCACCAGGCCCCCACAGGCCCAATTTGCCAACCTCCTCCACTTCCCGGCGAATCCATTTCAGAGGCCAGCGCACCTCCTGGTGGCCGGCAAGATTGAAATCAAAAGCCCATCCCTGCACCAGCCTGGAGCTTAACACTGGCCTGGGTTTTGGGTTGTGCATTGTCCTAGCACAGACATAGTTCAACTTCGCCATGCCAGCCTCTCTGCTGCTGCTCTGTGGATAACTGGGGATGGCAGAGGTGGGCACCAGCGCCCCAGCTGATTTTGAACCAAATAGGTTGCCAGGATTGAGAGAGATGGTGGGAGAAACAGGAGCCTGGACTCTTCTCAAGGTAGGAGCAACCCGGAAACCAGGACTCCTGGGTTCTCTTCCCTCCTCTGTCACTGACTCACCGTGGGGCTTTAAGGCAAGCCTCTTTGCTTCTCTGTTCCTCAGTTTCCCCATCTCATAGAATATCAGGGTTGGAAGGGACCTCAGGAGGTCATCTAGTCCAACCCCCTGCTCAAAGCAGGACCGATCCCCGACTAAATCATCCCAGCCAGGGCTTTGTCAAGCCAGGCCTTAACTTCTAGGGAAGGAGATTCCACCACCTCCCTAGGTAACACATTCCAGTGTTTCACCACCCTCCTAGTGAAAAAGTTTTTCCTAATATCCAACCTAAATCTCCCCCACTGCAACTTGAGACCATTACTCCTTGTCCTGTCCTCTTCTACCACTGAGAACAGTCTAGAGCCATCCTCTTTGGAACCCCCTTTCAGGTAGTTGAAAGCACCTATCAAATCCCCCCTCATTCTTCTCTTCTGAAGACTAAACATCCCCAGTTCCCTCAGCCTCTCCTTATAAGTCATGTGTTCCAGTCCCCTAATCATTTTTGTTGCCCTCCGCTGGACTCTTTCCAATTTTTCCACATCCTTCTTGTAGTGTGGGGCCCAAAACTGGACAAAGTACTCCAGGTGAGGCCTCACCAATGTCGAATAGAGGGGAACGATCACATCCCTCGATCTGCTGGCAATGCCCCTACTTATACATCCCAAAATGCCATTGGCCTTCTTGGCAACAAGGGCACACTGTTGACTCATATCCAGCTTCTCGTCCACTGTAACCCCTAGGTCCTTCTCTGCAGAACTGCTGCCTAGCCATTCGGTCCCTAGTCTGTAGCAGTGCATGGGATTCTTCCGTCCTAAGTACAGGACTCTGCACTTGTCCTTGTTGAACGTCATCAGATTTCTTTTGGCCCAATCCTCCAATTTGTCTAGGTCCCTCTGTATCCTATCCCTACCCTCCAGCTCTTCCCAGTTTAGTGTCATCTGCAAACTTGCTGAGGGTGCAATCCATGCCATCCTCCAGATCATTTATGAAGATATTGAAAAAAAACGGCCCCAGGACCGACCCCTGGGGCACTCCACTTGATACCAGCTGCCAACTAGACATGGAGCCATTGATCACTACCCGTTGAGCCCGACAATCTAGCCAGCTTTCTATCCACCTTATAGTCCATTCATCCAGCCCATACTTCTTTAACTTGCTGGCAAGAATACTGTGGGAGACCGTGTCAAAAGCTTTGCTAAAGTCAAGGAACAACATGTCCACTGCTTTCCCTTCATCCACAGAGCCAGTTATCTTGTCATAGAAGGCAATTAGATTAGTCAGGCATGACTTGCCCTTGGTGAATCCATGCTGACTGTTCCTGATCACTTTCCTCTCCTCTAAGTGCTCCAGAATTGATTCTTTGAGGACCTGCTCCATGATTTTTCCAGGGACTGAGGTGAGGCTGACTGGCCTGTAATTCCCAGGATCCTCCTCCTTCCCTTTTTAAAAGATGGGCACTACATTAGCCTTTTTCCAGTCATCTGGGACCTCCCCCGATCGCCATGAGTTTTCAAAGATAATGGCCAATGGCTCTGCAATCACATCTGCCAACTCCTTTAGCACTCTCGGATGCAATGCATCCGGCCCCATGGACTTGTGCTGGTCCAGCTTTTCTAAATAGTCCCAAACCACTTCTTTCTCCACAGAGGGCTGGTCACCTCCTCCCCCATGCTGTGCTGCCCAGTGCAGTAGTCTGGGAGCTGACCTTGTTCGTGAAAACAGAGGCAAAAAAAGCATTGAGTACATTAGCTTTTTCCACATCCTCTGTCACTAGGTTGCCTCCCTCATTCAATAAGGGGCCCACACTTTCCTTGACTTTCTTCTTGTTGCTAACATACCTGAAGAAACCCTTCTTGTTACTCTTAACATCTCTTGCTAGCTGCAACTCCAGGTGTGATTTGGCCTTCCTGATTTCACTCCTGCAAGCCCGAGCAATATTTTTATACTCATCCCTGGTCATTTGTCCAATCTTCCACTTCTTGTAAGCTTCTTTTTTGTATTTAAGAGCAGCAAGGATTTCACTGTTAAGCCAAGCTGGCCGTCTGCCATATTTACTATTCTTTCTACACATCAGGATGGTTTGTCCCTGTAACCTCAATAAGGATTCTTTAAAATACAGCCAGCTCTCCTGGACTCCTTTCCCCCTCATGTTATTCTCCCAGGGGATCTTGCCCATCAGTTCCCTGAAGGAGTCAAAGTCTGCTTTTCTGAAGTCCAGGGTCTGTATTCTGCTGCTCTCCTTTCTTCCTGTTAAAGAGAAGGATTGCTCTTCCCACACAGGCTGGGGAGATAGAGATTCACATGAAAGGTGCCTTAGAAATCCAGAGTATTATGAAGGAGGCTGGGGAGACAGCAGCCCTAAAGCTAAAACAAAATAGAGCTGTGGCTTTTGTTCACACTGGGACCTTCAGGTGCAGCCTGGACTCACCCCACAGCCCTGGGGAGGGAGGTTTTTGGGTACAGCTGAGCTGTCAGGGTGCCGACCTACAGAGCTCACCCTAGAACCCACAGTCCCTATTTCTCAGAGGGGTCGCTCGCTGAGCTGCTAGGACCCAGCTAAGCCAGTGAAACAGGGTTAGACATAGAGCAGGCTGGAGACGTGTTAACAAAGCATATTGCAGGGGGACATGCCAGGATGGGCAGGGATGGTGTCCCTAGCCTCTGTTTGCCAGAAGCTAGGAATGAGCGACAGGGGATGGATCACTTGATGATCCCCTGTTCTGTTCATTCCCTCTGGGGCACCTGGCATTGGCCACTGTCGGAAGACGGGACACTGGGCTAGATGGCTCCTTGGTCTGACCCAGTTAGGGCTATTCTTATGAGACAATTCTATCAAAACCGGAACCCTTTGCAAAATCCGGCCATTCTGCCAGAATTTAGTTTCAGAAAAAGCAAGTAGGACCAATGGTGGTGACGTGGCCCAGGGTGACATTTTGGGAACAAAACGTTTAATTTTGTTTTGAGAAACAACTTGTCATTTTTTTTAAATGTTGCTTTATATTCTCTAACCCAACACAAAATAAAGTTGTCGAAATCAAGAGGTTTTGATCACCGAAGTTTGCAAAGTTTCCCTGCCTGGAGAATTCTGAATTTTTCCATTTTTGCTCCGTGGCAAAAAGCCAGATTTAGAAATCTCAAAATCCTTTGTGAAACAGAACTTGCACCTGCCCCGCAGCTCCAGCTGGAGCTGACTGCTTTGCATCTCTCTGGGCTTGTCTACATGATGCATTAACCCACCCCAGCTGGGGTGTCAATTCTAAGGTACACCAGCATTTTGCACCCTAAACCGGGCCGTTTGGGCCGGGCTGCCCCGCACTAAAAGTTCCCTAGTGCACGTTAAGGTAGGAAAAGTTTGAAAAGGGACTATGTGAACGTGTTCTAGGGAATGTTTGGTGCATGCCAGCAGGGTCCATGCGGGCCAATGAGCGTGGGACAAGCTGGTGTGCACCAAATTTACACCACAGCTGGTTCATGGACACCATGCAGACAAGCCCTCTCATTCATTGCCTTACTGTTTCTTTAGCACCCTCAGTCCCTGCATCTGAACACACTGTTGCATTAACCCCCACCTGACCCTGCCAGCGTGAGGAGTCTCTATTTTGGAGACGGGGAAACCGAGGCACGGAAACGTCACCCATTAATTCTTCGTGCTAACAGCTGCCGCCAACACACACTTATGCCAAAACCCAGGCACCATGGCAGAAACATTGCCGCCTAGACAAACCACAGCCTGTTACTAAGGAGAGGCAGCTGCCTCCTGCACCGTAGGACTGGCATGGACTTGCCAGAGCCCTGTGCTCCCCCTGCTGGTGGCTGGGCACTACCAACCGGTGCTTCTAGGCTATTTGATGGGTAAGTTCTGCACCACAGGAAGCTGGGAAAGCACGAACAGAGAATAAAGAGCAAGTATGTGCCACAGAAAGCCAGTTAAAGAGAGTTCTTCTACTGCCCCTATTGCCAACTGGGCTGCTAACTTAGCAGCACCTAAATTTGGCATAATATTTTCTGCCCAGGGGTGGTACAAGGGTTAATGAGTTTAGCACTTAAGACTTGGCTGGAAGATGGGAGAAAAGGAACTTGGTAAGAATCACAAGTAGCCTGGTTCGGAGACACTGCACTGAGGAAGTGGCCAGGCTGATGGAAGAGATTTCCCAATCTGAGCTGAAAGTGCGTTTTTGCAATGCTCCTAGGCTTGGCCTGTGCTCTCAGCATGTGCAGCGTGGCCCGGGGGGTAGGGCACTCGTCAGGGATGCAGGAGAGTTGGGTTCTATTCCCAACTCCGCCACCGACCTGCTGCATGATCTTGGGCAAGTCACTTCAACTCTGTGCCTGTTTCCCCTCCTCCCCCAGTCTATTTAGATTGGCAGCTCTTCAGGGCAGGGCTTATCTCACTGAGTAGCTGTGCAGGGCCCTGATCCCAACTGCTATGATAGTGGGTAGCCCTTAGTGGAGATTCCCTAGGCATGGATACAATTCGCCCCCTCCCCAAAAGTAAGTGGATTTACCGCAGACATGGCCAAAAGAAAACACCAGGTCTCACTCCTGCCCCATTACAAAAGAAGGCTTTATCAGTCATCACACCATCTCTATTAAAAGGATTTTACTCTGAATCAAAAAAATATTTTAAAAATCCCAATTTTACAGACTTTTAGTGAATCTTCTCCCAAACTTAGGGGGAAAAAACCTAACTCAACTTCTTGTAGCAGCTGCTCTCCATCCTCAAGGAGTCTCCGGGGTGGGGTTAGCGGGGCAATCATTTTAGCCCCTGAACAAAGCAGCACCATTCGGCCCTCTTCCACAGCACTGGAAGCATCTGGTTCTCTGGAGACGAGCTGCCGCGTGGCATTGCCAAGAGCTGGGCAGTGCCTGCTACAGCAGATTAGCCCTTGCAGACCCAGTGATACTGCAACCCCTTCTGCAGCAGATCCTTCCCCTCCATTCTGCATGACTTGCACGCTGCATGACCTCCCAGTAGGGGGTGCCTGGGAGCGACACGGATGCATGCCTACCTTTGCCCCAGATGCTTCCCACATGCGTAGCTGGGACAGCAGCTCTCTCGTGGAGGCAGCCCCATTAACGCTCAGCCCCCTTGCCAGGCTATGTTGCAATGGGGCAGGTCCTTCAGGCTGAGACACACGCGTGCCTTGCTGGGGAAGAGCCCCGGATGGAATGCTGTAGAGTTTCTAGACCATCACCCAGGGAAATTGGGCTCACTAACCCTGCAGGAGGCGCCCTCACCCAGCTGCCACTGGATGGAAGTTAGCAGGGTTGGTTGCACCTCGGTGGGGTGTGAGGGGGGGAGCACCCCATCCTTTTAGAGTTCCATTCCAACTGAGCCCTCCCCAAAGCAGGCCAACCTTTGCCAGCGGGCGAGTTCCCAGCTGAGCCGGTCACACTGGCGTCGTGGCAAGCGCAGAAACGCCACAGCTGTTCTCACTACCACAAACCCTGGGGCAGGGCTGAGAGTTCAGAGGGCCCTTCGTGGCCCCAGGGCAGGAGGCGGGCAGCCAGATGGGCTCGCTGCTCTGCCAACCGAGGCGCTAACCCAGACCCTACAGTATCAGAGATACAGATAAACAGATGCCAATAAAGGACCATTTCAAAAGCGAGTCGTCAGTGCTTCCAGACAGGACTTTCCAGCACCCTCTGCTGCAGCCCAGTCAGACAGAGGAGCCGCGGGACAATTCGCCTCCGAAGCGGGCGACGTTTGTACAGGGAAGGGGGGGAGCAGAGTTTGCAAGACCTGCCATGAGCCCGATTCTGGGCAGGTTCGAGTCCAAGAGGCCCGGTCAGAGCTTCAGTCCTTTGCAGCTGACAGGAGGGAAAGAAACTCCGGCAGTGCCCCAGGCCCCTGAATCCACAGCACAGAGACCGCCAGGGCCCCCCCGGGCTTCGCAATCCCAGCCGCACCTCCACCAGCGCAGCTGCCCAGCCCCATGAACAGGGTGATCTGCTCTGAGTCCCATGCCCCAGCTCCTGCCATGGGGAGGGCGAGTCCCAGGCTGCTCCCAGCCGCAGAGAACAGGGCACTTGGGGTATTGGTCTTCCCTGGATGTCTCTGGCAGGCAGGTGCTGGCCTGAGGAGGGGCTCAGTCCTCGACGGGGACCTGCAGTGCAGAGTACACCATCACTCGGTTCTCTTCCTCCTGTTTACCTGCAAGGGAAGGGCAAAAGTCAGTAACTCAGGCAGTCCCCAGCAGCGGGGGGCCTGGCTGAGCCAGACAGCAATGGAGAACACATGAAGCCGCTTGGGTGGCTTAAAGGTTTCATACCCTTCTACTTCTGGCTCACAGGTTCGAATCCAGCTTCTGCAGGAGGCTGGAGATCAGCCACAGTCTGTGCCCTAGCAGGGGAGGCTGCATGCCACCGGCACTACGTGGCCCACACCAGTCTCCTCGCTGGGGGTCTCAGCAGCGAGAGCAAGGACTGAGCTGGCCAATGGAGAGGGAATGTCTCTCAGGGCCAGGGCCGAGGCTGCATGTTCTCTACCAGCTCGTGGGACTGGAGGATGACTTGGACCTACCAGGGCTGTTTCCCCACCACCGCGTTTAGACGGTTAGCGATGGAGCGGCGTCTGGGCAACCCCAGCCTCAGCACCTGGCTGGGAGTCTCTGTTGCCATACACCACCCAGCTACCACAAGAGAGAGCCAGCACTCCGGGGGGGAAGGGGGGAATAGCCCTCCCCCACCAGAAGTCAAGGGTGGAGCAGTCTGGGATCTGGTGGAAATTCCCGACTAATCCCATCCCACTCGCTTCCCCCTCCCGCTGCAGGCCAGACAGGATCAGGGTCCCCGAGGCCTTCTTATCTCACATCATTTCGAGCCAATTGTCTTGGAGCGGGTCATTAGGTGGGCGTTGTGTGTACCCGGCCAACTGGGAGCTGCTGCTGTCCATATGCCACTGCCCCCCAAAGCACCTTAGGCCAAGGGAGTCTCCCGAGCAGGTTAGTGTCACTATCCAGCACTTTCAGCGACTGCGGTACTGCCAAACGCCCCCCACCCTCCCATGAGGAGGCCGGCTGGCTAGATCCTTACAGGAGAGGCAGGCGAGGACGTTGTGCAAGGAGCCTCCGGCCGTGAAGAAGGCCCAGACGCCCATGGAGATGGTGATGATGTAAATGGGGACGAGGCTGGCCTGGTACCAGGGATTCAGGAACGTCTAGGAGCGAAGGAGGGAGAGTGAGGTCAGAAGGGCCGCTGCCTTCCGTCTGCATGCAGAGCCCTGGCACCCAGTCCCAGCGACTGCCCCCGGTCCAGGCTCTCTAAGTCTTTGGGGCAGACAGGCAGCATTCCCTCCTCTGTCTGAGCAGAGCAATGCTGATCCCTCCTGCAACTTCTGCCCAGCGGTTTCACCATGAGGAGCTTAGTGGATAATACAGAGCCCCTTGCAAGGGGCCTTTGGGATCCTTAAGTCCTTTATTAACACTGCTTACGCTCCCACCCCTCACAAGCTGTCAGGATCAGCCACCGCAGGGGAAGGGCAGAACAGGGAGTGACTAGCCCTGAATGAGCTTGTGTGACATTTCAGCAGACTGAAGCCTGGACTATCCCATTTCCCACGACCCCAGGCTCCCATCCTCTCCCCTGCAAAGGCCAGGGTAGGGCCAGCCAGCCCCACACTGCTGGCTGTCGGATCCGATCGCCTCTCTATCGAGCAACAACTTCAGCCCCACTCACCAACCCAGACGTGATGAGGTGACTGGCCACCACCAGCGCCAGGGACCAATACCGCCGCCTCTCGCAGGCGTCAAAGAAGATCACCCCCCAGAACGTGTGTAGGAAGACGACGGCCATGGTCAGGAATGCTGGCAGGAGAGGGGGGGGCGGGGGGTCAGACCAGTGAGGTGTCAGCACCCCAAACCTTCACAACAGCAACATGTTACCACCCTCTCCCCACTTCTATAGCATCTTTCTGCCTGGAGGATCCCGAAGGGTTTTGCAGACAGGTATGTGCATAGCTACTGAAATGCAGCCACCTCTGGAGTGGAGCCCAGGAGTCACCCCACACAAAAAGCTTTTATAGGAGGAGGTGGGAATAGTTTCGCCAGTGGAATCTGAAGTTGGGAAAGGGGATAAATTTCAGACTAACATCCCAGTCTTTATGAGGATCATTAGCGACCCTAAACAAAGAGGACCTAGGTGTCATATCTCATTTGGAAGACGGATTCACAGCTGTAGCCACAAGCGGTTCCTCCAGGCTATGTAACGATAACCCTTTTCTAGCCCCTTTCATCCAGGGCTCTCAAGACACATGCTAGTCATCAAGATTCAGAGCCCCACCAGCAGGTAGTCACATTTTTAGTGAGGGCCCAAGGTCACACAAAGATCAGTAGCAGAGCCGGGACTAAAACCCCAATGAAGTTAAAAGGAGGTTTACTGTTTACTTCAATGGGGCCAGGATTAACAATAGCTCTCTACACTCCCAGTTTCCTGCTCTAACCAGTAGACGGCACTGCCTCCCAAGATGGATGCTGCTGTGGTGATATATTTAGCTCTTGGCTGACAGGGAGGGATGGGGCAGCCTTGCATCATGCCCCAACAGTCTCCTCTGGTTCTGGTTGTATCTGATCATCTACAGCTGGAGGGAAAGCTGGTTCCTCCGGCTGTGTTTGACCTGGGCTCTGAGCCCAACCCAATGAATGGCATCAGGGCAGGAGCGATCCCTTCATTCCCAAGCACACAGGGGCTCCTGCCTTACCTGACGTGATGAAGTAATAAGGCGAATCCCCATGGATCCCTACGATGCCTGGCCCTATGGAGTCCGCCAGGATGTTAATGACCGAGAAGACCCCACTGATGATCCCGAAGGACAGCCCCGACACTAGGAGGAGGAAGAGTATATCGTTCAACAGCGCTGAAGTTACCAACGGCTATGCAAAGCACCAGAACTAGCTTTGGACTCATTTGACAAGCGCCGGGGAGTTCCCCAGCATCTTCCAGGTTACCCCTGCTTTCCCAGGAGGTGAGGAGACAGACTTACCATCCGGAGATGCCTGGAGAATTCAGTGCATCGCAGGGCTGTGTCCAATACGTTCTGGGGCAGGGAGGGGATGGGACTGGCAAGGGGAGGAAGATGTATCTTAAGTACGCGCCAGGCTACTGGTAAGTGGCAGAAGTTAACAGATGGAAGCATGACTGCCAGCCAGCGATTGCAGCACAGAGTCAGCAGCTCCTGGCTGCTCTGTTCCAATTCTTGTATCACCCCAACACAATGATATCTGGGCACCCTAGGCCTGCTGCAGGGCACGCCTGAAACGGTGCGTGGAGGGGTCAGTCATTTACGTGGGGGGAGGGGAAGCACAGGCCCTTGCCCAGCAGCTGACTCACCATAGGCCATCTGCTTGAGGGAGATGGGAGACTGCCCATCCTCACTGAGCGTCGCCAAGCCTTCGTCGGCTTTCCTGGGGGTCAGAGAAAGAAGAGAATGGCTGATGGGTTTGAAGCAGGAGATGAACTGGAAGGGGGGCTGGCGGCATACAGGGGGAGGTGGTATTTATCAAGCAAGTGGCAGAGAAAAAGAGCAGCTAATGGATCATATCTACAAGGAAGACACCGGGGCAACACTTGGGAGAGGGTTCGACAATCAGGTGCCACCCACGGTTTCTAATAATACTGCCTAACTCTTTTCATCAGCAGATCTCACAGCACCTTACCCAGGAGGGCAGCCCCATTTCACACAGGGGGAAACAGTCTGCTCCTAGAGGGGTTCGCTTACTTGAGTAGCTTGAAGTAGGCAAATCGAAACGCCTCCTGCAGCAGCACCGAAACCGCGGCCCCAAAAACGAGGAGGCCATACTGCAGCCTGGAGTCCTCCCGATCGCTGAGCTGCACTGAAATGAACCAGATCAAAGAGGCCAGCAGCAGGGAAACTAGCCAGAAAAACGCCCTGTCAAAGAGAGAGAAATGGGAAACAAGCTAAGATGTGTGTTGTCAAGGCAGCAGTTTCCCTGTGGGTCATGCGCTCAGTAAGGGAAGTTTTATCATCTCATACCACACTTGATCATGCTTGTGTGAGACATGCTTCTCCTAGGCAGGGGGCAAAAAGGAGGTGTGGGGCCTAGGTTCTACTCTTAGAGTTGACACTGACTCACTCAGCAACTCCGGGCAAAGCACTTCCTCTCTGTAAAATGGGGAAGATTCAAGAACATGGGTCTCCTTCCAAGACCCATCCCTGCGGTGAGAAACGGACCACTACAACCATCGGTCTGGGCTGGCCAACTCCCTTCCATAAGCAGCAAACACCTCACACTGCTGCTGACTCATGGGCATCACCAGGTCTTGTTACTGATTGACTGGTAGCTGCAATCCTGCAACAGTCAACACAGAAGAGCAAATACTGGGGGGTCTTAAGAGTTTTTTGCAAATAATAAATGTCCATTTGTCACATGGAGCCTGTAACCCCCGCCCACTTGGTGGGGTGCTCTATCACCCCCTAGTGGTGGCAGGGCCATTTATGAGCCTGCTCCAATGTGGGGCTTTTAGTGCAGGCAGTAGAGCCTCATGCTTTTCTACCCAGAGTTCCAGCGTTCAATCCCGGCTGCCAGAGACTCACCGAGGGACATTGTATTACAGGGTCAGCCCGCAGCCAGGAGACACATGTAACCGGCTCTTTAAGAGCACAACATACAACACTGCACAGCAGTTAAAGCAGCCAAGCGATCCGAACCCCCACCCCAAAGAGGTCCTGTACAATAATACAGTGCAAACACTGAGCCCTGAGTGGACTTTAGAGTCGCAAAAGTTTGAGCAAAGGTGGTTTAAATCCTGACTACACTTGCTCGGTAGCTCAGGAGCTGCTGTTTGGCACCAGTTGGAGATGTCTCACCCAGCCTGTACGGTTGGTACACAGATTACATGGCTAAGGTGCAGATAAGGTTGCAGCCATGTGGCCATTACGTCCCTTCTGGAACACGAGAGCTGAAGTCCAGGAACTCAATTGCTGGGAAACCAGGAGACGTGGGGGCAACTTAATCCTCCCAAGAATGTTCAGAGTTAAGTCCAAAAGACAGAAAACAAAAGGTGAAAAGCCAGGAAACGCAGGGTTAGTTTTCCACTTTCCAAATGGTGCTAGAAAGTTAAAGCCTCACTCTGCCTGGAATGGGGGAGACTCAGCCTAGACCAGGTCTGTCACCCAGAGACAATACAAAGAAGACCCCCCCCAAGTGCCTGCAGGCTAACCCAGAGATGGGGGCAACCTTCATCTCCCCCCCAGACCTCCCCCATGTGATCACCCCTACAAGTTCTCCAAGTTCTCCTGTTCCCCAGGACAATCAACCTGATGGGGCCCCTAGCAACCCCCTATCCCAATGGGTCACCACCCCCAGCTGCCAATAGAATCACCCAAGGGGTCCCCCCCAGCTCATGGGGATGCAGCTCCCCCACAGGGGTATCTAGCACCTCCACACACACTCCCTGAGTGGGACCTCAGACAAGTCCAGCCCCTGAGAGAATGCCTAGTATGGACCCACCCCACCACCAGGTGGATCATGTTGGGGGGAGAGGGGGGGGTGTCCCTGCACCTCCTCACCAAGGGTCCCCCACAAGTCACCCAGCCCTAGCATGACTTCCACGAGGGAGCCCCCTCAGCCCCCAGCTCCACCCCCAGACGCTACACGAGAAGTCCCCATTACCAACCCCCCGACCCGGACGATCCCCGCCCGGGGGTAGCCTGTCCCCAGCCCCAGACTCACCCTGCCACCAGGATGATGATCCGGAGCGGGTCCCCGGCCACAGTGAGCAGGAAGAGGGAGAAGGCTGGGCCGAAGGCCACGAACGTGCAGCCGAAGAACACGGTGGCCCCCATGGCGGTGGCGGGGTGGGGGGTCAGGCTCTGGGGCCCAGGACTGGGGGGGATCAAGATCTGGGGCCAAGGGCTGGGTAGGCTCAGAGCGAGGCGGAGGGGTCAGGCTTTGGGGCTGGGGGGGGGTCAGGCCTGGGGGGGCACAGGCCTGAGAGGGGGTCAGGCGCTGGGACCCAGGAGTTGGGGGATGGGCTGGAGGCGGGGGTCAGGACTGGGGGGCACGGGCCAGAGGGGGGGCAGGCACTGGGGTCCAGGACAGGGGCTGGAGGAGGGGGTCAGAACTGGGGGGCACGGGCCGGAGGGGGGGGGCTGGGGCCCAGGACTGGGGGTCAGGGCTGGGGGGCACGGGCCGGAGAGGGGGTCAGGCGCTGGGACCCAGGAGTTGGGGGATGGGCTGGAGGCGGGGGTCAGGACTGGGGGGCACGGGCCGGAGAGGGGGCTGGGGCCAGGGTCGGGGGTGGGGGGGGTCAGGACGGGGGGCAGGGCCGGAGGGGGGCTGGAGCCCAGGACTGGGGGTCAGGGCTGGGGGACAGGGCCGGAGAGGGGGTCAGGCGCTGGGACCCAGGAGTTGGGGGATGGGCTGGAGGGGGGGGGGTCAGGACTGGGGGGCACGGGCCGGAGAGGGGGGCTGGGGCCCAGGAGTCGGGGGATGGGCTGGAGGGGGGGCGTCAGGACTGGGGGGCACGGGCCGGAGGGGGGGGCTGGGGCCCAGGACTGGGGGTCAGGACTGGGGGGCACGGGCCGGAGGGGGGGGGGCTGGGGCCCAGGACTGGGGGTCAGGACTGGGGGGCACGGGCCAGAGGGGGGGGCTGGGGCCCAGGACTGGGGGTCAGGACTGGGGGGCACGGGCCGGAGGGGGGGGCTGGGGCCCAGGACTGGGGGGCACGGGCCGGAGAGAGGGGGGCAGGCGCTGGGGCCCGGGAGAGTTGTGGAGGCCGCCCCACAACTACCCCTGCCGAGGAGCCGCCAGCGTCCGCACCTGCGACCCCTCCCGCTACGGAAGCCGAGCAGGGGGACGACAAAGCCCGGCAGTGGGCCCCGCCTCCAGCGGATTGACGTGGCCTGGCTGGCCAATGGGCAGGGCGCATGCCCCCGGCTAGGTTGTCGCCGGCACCGCTCAACCGCCCCGCCCCACGGCATGGCGGGAGTTGTAGTTTCTGGGCGTGGCCACGGCCCGGAGCAAGGGGCCGCGTGGGCGGGCGGATGCTCAGCGTGGAGGTGGGAGGAGGAGCACGGCCGGAATGCTGCCTGCTCCGGGCCGGTCTGGGGTTTGCTGATGTCTTAGTGACAAATGCACAGAAAACTGAAGTTGCAAAGTTTGGCTCTGGGGCTGAACTCCCCCCAAGTCCAGGGTTTTGAGGGGGAGTCACCCCCCCTCCCCCAAATCCACACACCCTTAAACAGCATCCACCGGATCGAGGCACAGCGTGGAGACAAGTGGCCGCGAGACAAAATCCTTCTAATGAGCTTGTCGGGGCTTTTGTTGTTGTTGTTGGTCTGTTTGTACAGCGCCTAGCACAATGGAATCCTGACCCCAGATTGGGGCCCCTAGATGCTGCCACCTCGCAAATAATAACTAATAATGTGTGATTATTTCTTACAGAGGGTAGTGGGTGCTTTTCTTAAAGCCCCAGCTCCTAGAGTCAAGTTACTATGTGAGAATTTCAGCTTTCATTTTTTTACGGAAATAAATTTCTCACCCTCATGTCAGAAATGTGAAAATATGAACCCTAAAGGCTAAGATACCAAAAAGCAAATGAGAAGAACCCCACAGTGGTTCTTTTTAAAAATCTCATGATTTTTAAGCCAATGCATGATTTTGAGAGGCCTGACATGATTTTTGAATGCTTGGGGTTGGCAATCGTATTTTTAATGGGGTCTGAATGGCTCCCCGGATTTTTTGTTAGCAGTCGTCTGGGGTTAAATTTCCATTCAGCCACAGGTTTCAGAGTAAAAAGAAAAGGAGTACTTGTGGCACCTTAAAGACTAACCAATTTATTTGAGCATGAGCTTTCGTGAGCTACAGCTCACTTCATCGGATGCATGCATTTCATTCATTCATTCATTCATTCATTCAGCCACAAGGTGTCACTGTGGTAGAACCACATTTCATTGCAGCGCCCAGAATTGGCAATCCAATTAACCCTCTGAATAAAAAATAACTAATCCACCCATGATCGCAGCTTGCGACTGAAACAAACAAACATTTCACAGGCACTGGGCTCCAGCCTTGCTTCAACAGCCAGATGAGCTAGCAACCTTCCTGCTGAATTTAAAAACAACACATTTGAAGTGAGCTGTAGCTCACGAAAGCTTATGCTCAAATAAATTGGTTAGTCTCTAAGGTGCCACAAGTCCTCCTTTTCTTTTTGCAAATACAGACTAACACGGCTGTTACTCTGAAACCTGACATCTGTAAAAGAGTGTTACTGCATACAAAGGCAGGGGGCAAAGAGTGAAACAAACAAACAAACAATCTAATAGAAGATGAAAAGGAATAAACTTTAAAAATGAAAGCCCAGGAGAAGTAAAGGGAAGTATTAGTCCTTTCTGGTTTTAATCCCCTTAGAACCTGATTTTCAGAGCACCCACGTCTCCAAAAGAAGTAAAGCTTCAGAGGGGTCGCCGTGTTAGTCTGGATCTGTAAAAGCGGCAAAGAGTCCTCTGGCACCTTACAGACTAACAGATGTATTGGAGCACGAGCTTTCATGGGTGAATACCCACTTCGTCGGATGCCGCTTTTCCAAAAGAAGTGAATGTGAGCTGAAAAGCATTTCTAAAAATCAGCCTTTGTTAATATTCACGGCCTGGTTTATTCATTCATCATTATATGTTCCTAGGCCCAGCTCCTCAAAAGGTATTTGGGTGTCTAACACCATTGAGTTCAATGGAATACCTTTGCCCCAGTGTCTGTAGGATCAAATTCCTGTACTTGTATAACCCAGATCCCATTCATTTCAGAGGGAGTTTCATGCACAGAGCTGAGGCTGTCTATGGCCATAATGTGCCCTGACTCTATACTGGGATGGATCAATGGGGCTGCAGGAGACCTTTGCATTGGAGTTTCCGGCTCTCTCTGAGCTGAAAGTGTGCCCAGTACATTGCAGCTTTTAGAATTAAGTTCAAGGTGCATTTACTCTCTGCTGCTTTCCATTTTTAATATAAAAAGTGATTTAGTGTCTCTGAGAAGAGAGAATTTGACAGTCCTGGAGATTGGAGTCTTCTGATTGGCAGTCCGGACAACAGCATGGCAAACTTCCCCCCTCCCCCTCCCCCTCAGTCTCAACCCTGAGCTGCAGGGCCCATAGCTGGGGGGAGATGGGAGTTCTGTTTCCATGCCTTGGTTTCATTGCCCAGACTACAAACAAGTAAATGCCAAGTGGACAAGTGCAGGCTCTGAGCGGTTTTAGTTTGAGTCCTACAACATTAGGCCATCAAAATGACAACTGGATTTGAACCTGTGACTTCGGTCTGGTCTCCATTTAAAAGTTACACTGGTATAAATATGTTAGCGGTGTGATTTCTTACCAGAATAGTTATGGCAGTACAGCCCACAATGCGGATGCAGTTATACTGGTATAAAGACGCCTTATATCAGGATAGCTAATTTCCCTTTCCATATGGAAAGGAGCTGTCGTATGATCAGCAGTTTTATATTGGTATAAAAACGTTGAGACAAGGGGCGTTGTACTGATTTAACTATACTGGTTTAGTGAAAGCAAGACAGCGTTGGTCTGTAGACAAAGTTAGAGCTGGGCGGGAACTGTTTTTCCCATGTCGTGAGAGTTTTCGAGATTTTTGACATTTCTTTCCCACCTGGAATTGGGATGAAAACTTGAAATCCCCCCCAAAAAAATTGCAAACCAATATCTGAAATTTTTTTCGTATTGACATTAGACATTAGACATTAGACATTCGTATTTCAATAGAAATGTTTCATTTCAATTTTGTCCTTTTTTCCCCACTTTGACCTTTTTTCTCATATAAATGAACTGAAATTTCAAAACACAAAGTCACTTCGAACTGAAAAATGAAACTCTTTGTTTAGAGAAAAGGAGTACTTGTGGCACCTTAGAGACTAAAATGGGACATTCAGACCATTTCAAAACTGTTCTTTCCTCCCACGTTTCTAACTGGGAGATTCATTGAAACCCAAACTTTTCCCGTGAACAGCTTCGGTCTGGACAAATCAGCATTTTCTATAGAAAAATCGTTTCGTCAGAAAACCCCCAGCCAGCTCTAGACAAGGCCTTTGAAGGGAAAGGCTTGGGAGCCTGTCCACTGCCCCTGAGACCGTACACTCCCCGTTGGCTCTCATTCGCAGTCGAGAGATCATTTTGCAAAGCCCTCTGAGACCATGCTGATGGATGCTGTACAAACGCATCCTGTCGTATAGGTGACATCAGCCCATCTCTGCAGCGCTCACTCTTACTCTTGCATTTCCTTTACGGTCCACCGTCAGCACAGACCCAGCCTGTGGTATTTCAAAAACTCCCCCAATTTTGGGCATCCTATTCTGAGTTCTCACTGAAGGCGAGACCAGGAAGGAAATGATACAGAACTGGCTGCATCTTTTTTTCCATTCAGGGTGCGGAGACATTAGCTCTTTGAATTCGCACCTTGACCGTCTTGCTGGGTCTCTGACTCACCCTTTTGTCCAAGACCACAGACTCTGTGATGTGGCTCGCTTGGTGCATTTTTATTTAAATGAGGCCAGTGAAAAGCACCACTGTACCGTCAGGGCTTTTCATAGCCTGCATCGTCAAATCCTTCCAAAATCC